ATTCATTATAAAACACTCATGCTTTTAAGCCAAATACACGCTATTCATTATAAAACACTCATGCTTTTAAGCCAAATACACACTGAAAATAATACTTTACTGCCATCTGGACGCGAGCCATTCTCTCCACCATCTCTGATGAAATTGTCTGTGTTTTCTCTGCATTAGTGAACTTTCCAAAAGTTTACCGGTTTCAAATGTCCTCCTGGGTAGTGTGCTTTATAGTGTCATTTCTAATCACCCAGACAGATGCTTTGACTCAGTATCGGCAACATGTCAGAAGTGCCGGTATGCATGGAAAAAGTGCCAGTACGCTAAAGACTAAAATATTGAAGTGCCGATACTGTGTACCGGTGCGTACCGGCCCACTTCAAGCACTGCTTTCATGAATAAAGAGTTTGGATTGGGCCTGTTGCAAAGGTTTTGCCAGCGACAGGGTGGTCAATATCACTGGCAAAAATAGCAGAGTTGTCAGAAGGATCAAGAATGTAGCAGAACAGAATATTGGTTGGTTTTATTCATTGTGAAGCTTTGGAATCAAAAGGAAACCCATCCAGCCTAAAGTGGTGATAAGAAACACTGAAAGACAAATTTGTAAACTACATTAATGGTAGTGCTCTTAATATCTGACATCTCAAGGCCCTGTATGCTGAAATAGGAGCTGAACAGATGTAAAATGGTTGTGGAAGCGTATGGTCTACCTAGTGTACAAATTGAGGGATGAAATAGCCTACATGCTTTCTTAACGGAGAAACTGTCACCTCTCACAAAAAAATACAGTACAGTATGAATGAGACTTTAAAAAATTTGTAACATTTTACCAATTTGCAACCAAGTTTGTTGCTCATCTTGAAACCACTGGTTATCACTTGAATTGACTAAATCGGTATGTAAACAAAACAGCTGAAATGACTGACAACTTAAGGCTGGAATACGACTTTTACAAACTGAACACTAAAGGCATCATTCACTTGCCAACTTTGTAAACAGTTACAGAGGAAAAACTACAAAGGACCACACAGTGCCAGACTTTCATATCTTCCCAAACACTATAAACATAAACACGTGCCTCGTTGCTAGGAGGCACATGACAAATGAAAGCAAAATGTGTTCTAAAATTGGCTCAAAATTTCAATTTTACATCTTCTGACTGGATGAAATCATAGTCTGAAACAAAAATGTTTTTAAATCAGAGTCTGTGACCATCATATATACACAAATTTCTGTGAAATCTGTCAACTCAAATCTGCAGTTCTGTTCTGACTTCTGGCAACCATACTGTAAATTAAAGCAAAAATGTGGCCAAAAGTATTCCAGCCTTTATTGATTACATCCAACTTGGTATGTTTGCATATGTAGGTCCGATTATGCCTAGATAGAACCTTCCATAACAAATCCTTAATAGCACAGTTAAGGAAGAGTTAAGTAGAATGAAACTTGATAAATTCCTCATGGGTGTATTTTTCTGTCATTCAGAACAGCAGTAATTTTTACACTATCCTCATTTGTACTGTGCATCAGTATGCATTATTATCCTGAAAAGACCTTTGCAGCAAACCAGAGCAACATTAGTGAATCAGCACATGGTTTTGTATATCTCTCCAGCTTCACTGACTCACCCGCTGTAGTCTGCTATTCAGTCCCCCGAACCAGGGTTTCTATTTGAAGTGAAAGCCTCTGGGATAACAGCAAACCAATTAATCTTTCCTATAATAGACTGAAGGCTTGTGGATTATTGTGCTGATTGGAAAGTTTGCTTCAGAACCTTAATTAGCTTTGCAGGTTTTCCCGACGACCAAATCTCTTCTGACTCCTCAATTAATGTAATTCTTAATATAATTATCATACATTGTCCTCATTATCGATTGACTGCAGTTACATGAATGAATGGGGGGTGTTCTCCGTAGCCCGGAGTACTTTTGTTATTAAAAGTAAATCTGCCTCCCACATTTGTCTTGCAGCTCTAATTTACCAAAATATATTGTGCAGGTTAGGAATGCATTTTACATAGGGCAGAGGCTGATGGGAATTAATTGCGCCTGACACTTGATGGATCTTTGTGACGTCTTATAAGTGAGTGGGCCGAATTCTTGTAATCGATTCCATCACGGGTGAACACATGGTCTCGACCCCAGCAGAGATAACAGCTGCTTCTGTGTGTTCCAGCTCTTTCCTAGCAGGTAACTGGCAGGACTTGAAAACACTTGGGCCAATTTTTATCAAATTGCGGTTCATTCTTGATTGATTCCTGTTGGTCACATACAATTTTTCTTTGGGGATAAATCATTATGCTGTCTTATCCTGCTGTTCTGTGTATTGGACAATTCTGTCTCTATTTTTCCCTCCAAATGACAGAGGTGCAGTTTTCAGAGCTTGTGATGAGCAAGGACTGAGTAACAAGCAATGAGAAGGGCCATGTTCTTTTTACTACAGTATAACCAACCCAGTCTCATAAAAATACGTACCTCTGGGTACTTTTCTGCAACACCGTTTTTACGTACCTTACTGCACGTTTCGCCGCAGTTTCAAAGAGAAATGTCCACTGAGTGATGCTAAAACACGGGTTCAATATATGAACCCTGGCATGTTTTTATTACGTTGATCTAGGTACATATTGCTGTGTTTTTATTACGTTTATTACGGTCCAACATATGAGGAAGAATGGATGGATGGGCAATTATAACGATCCCGAAAAAACTTTTAGACCTTACTTTAATGTGATTACCTCTGGGTACTTTTCTGCAACACCGTTTTTATGTACCTTACTGCACGTTTCGCCGCAGTTTCAAAGAGAAATGTCCACTGAGTGATGCTAAAACACGGGTTCAATATATGAACCCTGGCATGTTTTTATTACGTTGATCTAGGTACATATTGGTGTGTTTTTATTACGTTGCTTCAGGTACGTATTGGTTCAGAATTCAAATATCTGGGGACTGTCGCTAAAAGTTAATGCAAAACTCTGTAAATTTGTGTGAAAAGAAATACAAGGCGTCAGAGTTTTACTGCCTCTAGTGTTAATTTCTTTTGGAAACTGCAGTGATATGTACTTATTGGTCCGCAAAAAGTGCCCCACACTCTTAAAAATAAAGCTGCTTCAAAAGGTTCTTCAAGCGATGCCATAGAAGAACCATTTTTGGTTCCACAAAGAACCATTCAGTCAAAGGTTCTTTAAAGAACCATCTCTTTCTTACCTTTTTATAATCTGAAGAACCTGCTTTCGCAACAAAGAACCTTTTGTGAAACAGAAAGGTTCTTCAGATGTTAAAGGTTCTTTATGGAACCATTTAAACAAAAAGGTTCTTCTATGGCATCGTGAAGCACCTTTATTTTTAAGAGTGCAGGTATGTTTTTGCCATGAGACCAGGTAGGGTATAACATATACTATCACAGAACTGAAAACATGTTAAAAATAATATTGAACTAATAAAAAGGCTGAATTGCCACACAATGGCATAGAAACATTCTCCAACACCAGTGGTGGAGGTAACGAATTACATCTACTCACGTTACTGTAATTAAGTAGTTGTTTTTCAGGTATTTGTACTTTCCTAAGTATATTTTTAAGTCTGTAATTGTACTTGTACTTAAGTACAAATTAATGAATGTATTCTACTTCGCTGCTTTTAAAATCAAAATTTGTTACTGAAACTTTTTTTTATGGACTCCATAGTGTTTCTTAAATGTGGTAATTAAGAAACAATATCGAGAAACAAAACCAACATATTTTCAAATTTACAAATTTTCAGTACTTTTACCACCACTGCCCAAGACTGTTCATTGCCTCTTTAGAAATGCAAGTCATGCTGTAGGTGGAATCAAGTGCTAGATCATCAGAAACAAGAACAGGCCAATCTTCAGTACCTCACTTTGATTTTCTCTTTAAAATGCAATCCAAAATCCTCACTTCCCTACATTGTAAGCATATAGGGCAGGTCCTAAAGCATGCTATTTTGCGTACAAAATCTTATGTTCTTACATTCACATCAGAGATGTTCACAAGTCTTTAACTTGGAGTCCGAGTCGAGTCTCTTAGTCATTTAATGGTTTGCTAAAAACATCTCATTCAGAATCCTCGTGTATTGAAATCTTCCTATTTACGAAGCTGTTTTATCGGCTATTGACAAAATATATATTCTATGATCTGCTTTGTAAAAAAAAAAAAAAAAAAAAAAAAAGATTTGTTATTGATGTAAGATGTAAGGTTATTGTACAGCCAGCCTGTTATTTATAGGCTATGTTTTAACCCATTACCATGTTCAAAACCATGACACAGAAGGAAATATGCGACACAGATATTGCAAAACCATACAAATAAAGTATTTCTTTATTTTATAAGTCAGGGGTATTCAATTAAAGTTCCAAGGCCTCTATATTTTTTCCAAGCAGAGGTCCGAAAAAAAAAACATTTGACATGTATTGCATTTTTACATTTAGATACATGCGAGGCCATGTGACAGAAAAAATACTGTTTCTGTTCAGGGTTTTCCTCCTGAAATCTATACTATTTTAATATTTTAGCCTACTTAAAAGCATTATAAAAACAATGTAGCTACAGTAATCAAAACATTCTCATCTTGAGCAGAAAAGAAAGATAACTAGCTATTTCAAAGTTTAAGTTCCTATCCTAGCCATCTAACACCACTTCTCCCAATTATAATTACATGATTCTTTTGAAATGTTCTTAGCCTACAGAAGAGAATTTACTCTTTGAATATATATTAACTAATGATCCATTAAGCATTATATAATGTTTGTTAATGATTTATTATTGAAAGTTATTCTAGTTTTACCAATAAATAAATACAAATCCTTTCAACAGTACATATACGTTTTGTTTTTCACAAACATGGTACATTTATCTGAAGTGCAAACAGATTGCATTAGGAATACTATAGCAACTTTTGTGTTTATCACTTGTAGTAAGACAAGGTGAGGACAAGGCAACTTCTCTGTGAATCTGACTGCTGGATTCAAGCTCTTACTTCAGAACTGAAATTAGTAAAATTTTTGTAAATGTTGTCTGGACTCAAATAGATCATGCTTTGGGCAAGAAGGTAACATGCAGTACAGGCAGTGACATGTAATATATTTTAGCTTCTCAACAATCAACACCGTTTTTGAAAAGTGCACGTGTCCATAAATTGCAAAAACAATTGTAAAAATGTAATTTCTCCAATGATGCATTGTAGTACAGTGGATAAGCACTGAGTTACACTGTTGTATGGGAAACCAACACACTTACCTGGGAGTATCTAGTGAGTCTGAAGACCTTGATTAGCTGGTTCAGATGTGCTTAAATAGGGTTGGAGCTAAACTCTGCAGGACAGAGGCCTTCTGGAACAGGTTGGGACACCCATGAACTAAGAAAATGTTAGTCACTTTTATCTTGTACTAGTCATTCTAGTGCTGTATATTGTTCTGAATTACTTCTGTTATGTTGTCATTTACTTACCGTCAGGCTCCAAAAATATGTTTACACTTATATGTGCACTATATTGCAAGTGTTCTAAACAAAATATCTAATCTGTGTGATTACTATAGCCATGTTGTCCAATATCTTGCTGTATATAAACTAGAAAATTAGGTGAAAAGAGTTAAAAATGAGGTTAAGAGAGTGACTGTTTATCAAGTTGTTTACTATGTGTATTCTACTCAATCACCAATTATAAGTTCTTTCACTGCAGTTTTCACGGTTCTGAGTAATGCATTTGGCCTTTAAATGTGGGAAGATACTGACAGATGTTTGAGCACACTTTTAGCTCTTTCTGCCATTTTTTTATTGTGAAACTGACAAAACTCAATTATTCTTCAAAAATCACACATCAAAGATTGTTGCAAACTCAGAAATGAACTTAGTTCTAATGTATTTTTACTTTTCAACGAGGGATCTGTGAATTGCCCAGAGTTTATCTTATGTTACATCTAGAAGACAATTTTAAATCAAAGCAAAATATGATCAACTAGCACAATGATGACAGAATCTCAACACTCTGATGAGTGATGAACTGGCTAGCCATCCAAGTGTGTGTTTCCCTGCCTATATTCTCAACATATGAGGAAGAATGGATGGATGGGCAATTATAACGATCCCGAAAAAACTTTTAGACCTTACTTTAATGTGATCTTCCTGCTTTCTTCTACTGATATAGATGTCTGAGTTATGGTTTTCTCTCTCCTCTTGGGACCAGTGCTCAATAATAACATAATATTGATTGGTTAATAATGTAATTCCGAGAAGCTCCATGCAAGATGTATGAAAAAAAGAAACGGTAACAAGATGATCAATAAAAGTAATAGGAAACAGGAATTTTACTTAAGAGTTACTGATGTAAAGTAATACGATCGTTTACAGCATAAATATTGGTGGTATATTGGTATACGATCGTATACAGCATAAAAAATTGCCTGGTGCCAACTGAATAATAATATCAAATATCTCTTATGATTTCAGGTGTGGTTATGGATTGTTCCTCCTCTTCTTAACTGTTTATCACACTCACATATGACCTTGCCCATGCTGAAGAGTGCAGCCTAACATAGCCATATGCTATGCCTTGTTAGTTTTGCCTAATATCATCATGGAAAGGACAGTCAATTACAGTCCCAATCAGAAAAAGTGTCATGATGTGAACAAAATGACTGATCCCTTTTGCAGATAGGCCTGATAACTCAGGAGAGTTAATCGATACTGGTCAAAACAGGGCATGGGGAAAGTCTATTTGTATGCATGGACTCATTAAATCTGACTTGATTGCATCTAAGCTGCAACTGCCAGACCCACAAAGAGAACTATAATCAATAAAT